CACACACACACACACACACACACACACACACACATTCATTCTCACTCTCTTTCAAGCGGGATACATTTGGGAATTGGAAACAAATTATATAAATTAAACTGTGTTTGGTAGGTCTTACTTCCAATCGCTTATTTATCGTAATCGTCGTTTATTCGTCGTAGAAGTGATCTCCCAAAACTTGTGTAAATGCATTGTATTCAGGTTAGTAATGGCATTCTTGAACATGGGATAAAGAGCGCGCTGATACCTCTGTTGGTATCCTGCTGGACTGCAGTGTCGGTGGCCGTGGTTCGAATCCTCACAGTGGTGTTTTGTTAGGTTTTCCGGTTAATTGGCTTATTCTAATGGGAGATGAAGGTTAAATAGTCTGTCCCGCCTCTTTTAATGATCTAGCAGTATTTACGAAGGCGTTTAATTCGTCCCATAGAGTACCATAGCATGTAGTTGAACAAAGGGGGGAGGTACAATATCCCATCGAGTAAAAACAGCAGGAGCGGTTTGTTAACTGGGCAAGACCGGCGGTGCCGGTCAGATTTTTGTCAACTGAACTGTTGACTAGAGGTTTATTGCTGATGACGATTTTCATTCAATTTTAAGTAAATCCAAACGAACATGTATCAACATTCAAAAACACCTTGCCGATTTGAAGGCGCTCAAATAGAAAAGTGGGATTCACTGATGTTTTGTCGCGACATAACCTCATTCCTTCACGTTTGTTATCGCGCCGGCTCGTAACTTTAAATCGTCTCCCGTCAAACCGTCACGTCGCGGAACTTCGTACTACGTACGAGGCCAAACACACGGCGGCTTGGCTAAGGCCTAGCGATGACGTCAGTCCCATAGACAAATCCATCGTCAGTCCACAGAAAGATTAGTATATCCCTTAATTGCCAGATTGGCCTCTTTGTAGCTTACAAAATTAAGAATGAGACTGTCTTGAGCAGCACAGACACATGTATTATTTTATCAGCAAACTATGTATTTATCATTCAGCCTTTCTCTAACTACTATCAGAACATTTATTGTCAGCATGGCACAACTCTTTTTTGTTTATTGACTTTTTAACCACCTATAGTTCCTGCTTGGCATTTACTCATCGTTTTCTCCCCACTAATAACTTACCTGGCCCTTAGGAGTCTGGCCGGTGAAAGAAGGAATCGTCTA